ACAGGCCTCTCTCATCTTTTTAAGTGGGAGAACTTGCACAATTGGTGGCTGACTAAATACTTTTTTACCCCACTGTAATTCTTTAGATCTTAAATCCATCCATGGTACGCTTGCATGCAAAAGTTTAGGCACCCTTAGTCAAAATGAATGTTTCATTGAATCCCTAAATGAACAGAAGCTGACACAATCTCTCTGGTTGTACAACATTATGTATGTTGTATTCAAGGCAGCATACATAATGCTCCCTCTTATTTTACCCACAACAACAATCCTGGAGTTAATTGGGCTGAGAAGGAGCCAGCTGGCTCTCTAACAGTTGAAATTACTAGCTGGAAGAATTTTTTTTTTAAAGCTTTCCCTGCTTTGTAAGAGGAAATTACCTTCATTTTCAAACTTTCAGAAAGCTGGTTAGAGAAACCCTAGCTGAAATAAGAGAACAGTCACAGCCTGAAAAGTTTGAGTATTTATTTGATCACCACATCTGTGCAGTTATCTTGACCTAATTGAACTATAGGTCTAGTAAGTCAATCACCTCACTGGGCCTTATTAACAAGTTTATTGTACAATAAAAATGAACCGTAAGGTGTCTAGACTTCTATACTTGTCACATTGTTTTCTTATTTTGAATCTGCATACAACTCTGGATTTCAAGAACACTATGCATATAGATACACCCAAATTGCAGGCAAACAGTATTTATTCAGATTAACAAGTAATGTTAAGTTAGTGGGACCTTGGCAATATAGACAAAAAAGTCACTCCAAATTCAAAATATTTCATCTCCTCTCAAATTCTACTTGTATCACTGGAAGCCTGTGTCTTTTGGTCCTTCAGTCAACGTAGGAATGAGTCCATAGAGTTGCAAAAATATACTAGCATTATGATATACAGTATATTCAATACTGAATTCTCTGCATTATAAAACAATGTTCATTCAATAAACAGCAGATTAGCTTCATTGGTATATAAACTCCATGTAGTGAATGGCTGGAAAAATGCATATAGCTTGTTTCAACTACTGCAGCAGGCTTGGACCCATGTTTGGTAGCATTTAGTCATAGAAATGTTTGGCTTTGTACAACTGCTGAATTGTAGAATTTCTCATCCCTCACCATTGGTTGTATTAACTGGGATTGTTGGGAGCTACAATTCAGCAACATCTAGAGAGCCTACAGCTTACTGGCCTGCCCTTTAAATTATTGCTCCTCAATTGGTATGTGGTAACTTTGGTAACTTTATCAATTTATTACTTTATCAATAGCATCATAGCCATCTCTTAGAGAAGAAAAAGTCTAGCGCTGATCTGGATACCTCTTTGCCCAATATGCAGTTGCAGGCTTGCAGTTCAGTTGAAATCATTTGAAGGCACCTTACATGGCTACCAAAATTCATTTAACCGGTAGTATCAGGTGTTAACACCTACATGAAGATATTAATTCATATAAGACTAACCTGCATTCTCCCATAGATGATCAAACATCTGCACAATGGCACTCTTACTCAAGATAAAAGTAAAGTTGCATTGGCACATCATATTGTGCCAATGCAACTTTAAAGTTTTAACCTTGCTTCTAGACAAATTTATAGAATCATTTTCAGATAATGATCTTTCTTTAATCCTTAGTTGCTTTGTGCTCCTGGACTACAGGGGTGGAAATAAAGATAATAGTGGGTAAGATAATAGTGAGGAGAAGATCCTTAGCCATTATTCTTTAGCAACTAGTTTTAAGACAAGAACTGAAGTACAACTACTAAAGGTGAAAGTGATGTGTTTCTGCACAACTTACTTTGTATTCTAGCTCTTGTATAAGTCTCCTTTGTACAGATTGAGAGCTAGTGTTGAGTGATACAGTGAGATGGCAGCTATATACCATTACATTTCTATCACTTGTTAATTCTGCCACATGAAAAAAAGATAATGTCCCAGCCACGATTCGGGAAGGCTTCTTTGAAGGATAATACATTATAAAGTAATCTGTTTTGAAACATTACAAATTTCACATAACACATATGTTACCATGATAATACTAGAGGTTAATATTATTTACCAGCTGTTTTTCATTTTAAAATGCATATATTTTGTTTTGTAGGGAAATTTGAAAGCCATGCTCGAGTACATACGGGTGAAAAGCCTTTTGAGTGTGATATTTGCCAGCAGCGTTATTCAACCAAATCTAACTTAACAGTACACAGAAAGAAACACAACAATGAAATGGAATTTCATAAAAAAGAACACAAATGTTCATATTGTAACAAACTGCATGCCACCAAAAAGACCCTGATAAAGCATGTAAAAAGGCAAGTATCATTGAAACATACTGTATTGTGGGTAATATAGAGTGATCATTTGATTTCCTTTTATTATAAAATTATAAAACTGTATACCACAGGAAATTATATATAAACAGTAGTCCTGTTAAAATATATGACAATTTATTTTAAATGTGTATGATGTTAAAATTACCATGCTCTGCCTGGAGATGATGAAAATCTGGAGGACCTCAGGCTGGGTAAAATTGTGCATGTGTACAAACTAACTTACTGTTACAATGAATCAATAGTGTAGTCAACTTGAATCAGATCAGGGTGTATGCGCTCCACCAAATGTATATGTGTGATGTGAGATAGCAATATGTTCAGTAGTATTATGTATTGTTTCTCTTTAATGTATATCCTGCTTTTCTGTCAGGTGAGTATTCAAAGGTAATTTATTTATTTACATATATTTCAAATTTGTCACTGCCCATTTCACTACAGAGTGATTCTGGGCGGTTTACAGTAAAAACAGAATAAATTAATTTAAATAAATAAATATTAATTAATTAATTAAAATATACTAAAAACAA